ATAATGTCCTACAATCGCCTACTATATTGTAGTTAAATAGTCATAACAATTGTATTTCTTTTTTATAAATATTTAAGGTGGAGGGTGTGGTTACATTTCAAATTTCACATTTTCTATATCATCTCAAGTGTCATCTCATTTCCCCTCCACTCCATAAAACCCTAGAAATAGTCCATTTCAATTCATTGTACTTTTTTTTCTTTTTTTTTAAAAAAAAATTACTTTAATTTGAAAAACATATTTAAGAAATAATTAAATTTAATTAAAAAAAATGATTAGTAAATGCAAAATTAATAAAAATGCTAATATTTCATTACATTGGAAAAAAGAAAAGTACATAATTTTTTTTAAAAAAAACCACAAATTAAAAAGAAAAAAACAAAACTAAAACAAACTACGATATCCGGTCGCTGGGATATTTTTCTTAATCTCCTCATTGATCATTAAAATTGGTTGGTATTTATAAAATGGTAAATAGTTAAACAAATTCTAATATAACCTTTATTTTCAAAAAACATAAATAATCTTAAGAAAGAAAAAAAGGAGGAGAGAAAGTGTGGTGTCCTCCTCGAGTTTTCATCACAAATAATTTAACTGCAACCAAAGTGTTGCTGATGATGCGGTGGATGCTCACTTCACAATCATCTTGTTGAACCGTGTTAATTTAGTACTCCTTACAACCTTAGTATTTCATTTGTAAAATTGCTAATGATTAGCCTAAGCAATTGTAATTATAGTTTTTTGCAAAGTAGTTTATATATTTAAGTATTTTATGTGTTTATATTCTTTTTAAATATCATTACACAAAACTCCATGAATATTGTACGGAAATACAACCGTGACTAGTGGCCCACACTAGCGACTCAAAAGGTCCCTTTTGGTTTTAATTTGCTCAAGCAATTTGCACTAGCATGATTGTTGTCCCTCAAATATTTATACCATATCCTATACAATCCATTCATACAGCGTAATTAGTTACATGGCGGAGACAGGCGGAGATTCAGCACCATCGCCACGGAGAGTTCCACCAATGATAACACTCCCACCGCGTTCTTCTTCAGATACCTTCCTCACCGGGATTAGCCCCGGCCCCATGACACTTGTCTCCAATTTCTTCTCCGATCACTATCCAGACACTGATATCCATTCTCTCTCTCAGCTTCTCGCCGGAGTCCTGCCTTCCCCCGCCGCTGAAAACCCACCTCCACTTTACAGTGATTATTCATCTCTATTATCCACGGAAGAATCACGAACCAGTCAAACATCAGACCCCTACGTCGACAACTCCTCCCAAATCCGATCACCGGAAACTGTTTCGGATTCTGAATCTGGTGACTCGAAACCCGAACGAGTGGTGGCTCTAACTAAACCCGCTAGCGATGGGTATAACTGGAGGAAATACGGGCAGAAACAAGTGAAGGCAAGCGAGCTTCCTCGTAGCTATTACAGATGCACGCAAGAAAACTGCCCGGTGACCAAAAAGATCGGACATTTTCTTGATGGGAATACCAGCGAGATCATCTACAGTGGTCGGCATAACCATGAGCCACCGCAGCTTCATAAACCAGCGGTGGTTGCCGATGAACAAGCTTACGAACTAATGCCAAAAAGAAGGCAAATTTCCATCGTTTTAGAGTCTTTTTTCTTATATATGATCACTAAAGTACATGCTAAAGTTGAAAGTTTACTGATTGACGAGACTTTTTGTGCAGGAAGACTGAGGTGAAATGTGTGGACCGGAGTAGCTCTTGTCGGGTGGTGGTCACTGAACCAAAGATTGTGGTGCAGACGAGAAGTGAAATCGATATATTAGACGATGGATTCAAGTGGCGAAAATATGGGCAGAAAGTTGTGAAAGGGAATATTTACCCCAGGTGATGATTTTCATAAAATAACTTCTTTAATGCACTTAAATTTATTGTGATTATATTAAAATATTTGGATAATATGTACGTAGATTGATGTTATAGACATGTAGACTTTTTGTGTTTAGGTCTTGGGTTTTGTCTATTTTTAATAAAGTTCGTAGGACCCGTTGTCCATATGGTCCAATTAACTACACATAAAGTTCCTAGGACCCGTTATCGTATTGTATTAAATACTTCGAAATAAAGTTAGAATCATGAATCTTACAGACTTCAGTCTTGGAAAACCTGCGGTTCAAAAAGTAATTTTGCTTATATATAACTTGTGACCTGCAGGAGTTACTATAGATGCACCTACATAGGATGCAAAGTTCGAAAGCATGTTGAGCGGGCGTTATCGGACCTTAAATCCGTTGTAACTACATATGAAGGGAGACATAAACACGACATTCCTGTAGTTGCCAAACCTTCAAGTAGCAACGAAATAAACTTCAAAGCCGAAATACCATTTTTGTTACAACTAAAAGAAGAGCAAATCATGATGTAAGCTCGACTTTAGACTTGTGCCTTTTTGAAAGGTGATTGATGATTTGAATTGGCCTTGCTTTCGGAGCTGGTCATGCATTATGGTATGGTGGAGGAGGTGATGTCGATCTAGGATTGTGAGCAATAAGAATCAGTAGGTGTTTGAATTTGGAAGAAAAAACTTGGTTTTATGTTTTGCTTTTGATTATATCATTGTAATACATTATGTGTAGTTATGTTTAATTTGTAGCACCCCATGGGGGATTAGAAATATACATAGTTTACGGAGTTTAATATTATTTGTCGCGTGGTCACATGCATTTATTTTTCTAGTGGCTTTTGATATTATTCATATATGCAAATATTTTTCAACATGACAATAGTTTATATTTTAGACATATTAACTCAATTAAACTATGATCGTTAGTATTAAATACATGTTTTACCATTTTGTATGAGGCAAATTTTAAAGTAGTCTGTCCTCCTCTACAGTGAAACCCCTATCCCCGAAGCCCACAAAAAGGGAAACCCCAATTAGATTTATACATGCGTACTTCCCTCCAACCTATCCAAAAACTTAAACATCATTTGGTCTAAGTGTTGATCTACCTTTTAACAGGTTAGTTAGAAAGTTCAGAGGAGCCTCTTTCTTGACAGAAACTCTGGCATGCCTATATATGTCGAAAAGAACATCCCTAACCAGATCGTGTTGTTACTTGAAACACAGGAGCTCTCTATAATAAACTGCATGCTTAGCAAAGGAGTCCAAGCATGCCTTACAACAAACATGGCATGTCTCATCAAACGGAAATAAATGAATCAGAAGGCGATACTTAATGATAGCATGATACTTCACTGGTGACATATAGTGGTCAAGACCGTCAATAGGAATAGTCATAAGAAAATCTTGAGCATGTGGTGCCCTTAGACACTCAAAACCGCTTTCAGCCTAATAGTCATGTCAAAGTCAACTTCCATATCTTGGATAATTTTACTAAAAAGGTCACTCGCCAATGAATGTTGAGCTTTTGGAGGGGCAGTGTCCTTATAAGTGACAATGCTGTAGTCAAAACCCAAAATCGTATCATGAAGACAAGCCAAAGCACAAACATAATAAGAACTCATATCACATATGTCACTATCTCGCAAGCTATGATCTTGTAACACCCATGATTGAGATCGTGAAGCTAAAAAAGCATAGGAGGAAGTCTCTACCGCTGAGTACAACCCCAAAACCACCAAACCTAAATGGTAATGAAATAAGTCGTCATTGAATGTCCCAAAAGAAGGGACCCCTACAAACCATAGTATCTTCAATTAACCCACGTAACCCTTTATCAAAGAACAAAGCCTACTCCTCCATGTGAATGAGTTGGCATGTCCTCGGGCCAAAGGAAAGTTTGGCAATGCCCATGGAAGATCAAAGGAAAAGGAGCTCACTTTGGGAGTGTGAGAACAAGGATATGATGCGCAGGGACAAGGTTTGAAAACTCAAACCTTGAGTTAATGCTTATGATCAATGTCTGCTTTTAATTGGATGTTCCAGTCAAGTCTGGTAATACCAGTCGAGACTGAAGTGAGAATTCAACAAAGTACTTAAGTAATAAATGAAGAACTATGAGTATAATCAAAGTAAAGACAATAAATGAGCAAGAAGAATGTTTTGAAAGAGTTTGATTTGAGAGAAAAGTGAAAGTGAAGTAAATGTAAGTATAGCCATCTTTAGAGCAACAATCTGTAATTGTAAGTCCCTGAAACTCGGATCTATCAATGTACCAATGCAATAGTTTGATTAATGCGAAATCTTAATCAAACAATGAAACGAAACAATCAACAAAATATATCAAGAACACGTTTCAATAATATGAATGCACACAATTCTATTGAACAGTTGTCAAGTACATTCAAATCACTCTTCAGCCGTGAATCACTATGGTTCACCAAAAAACGCATTGGCCTAGAAAGGCTATACACAGAACAAATATATACTAGCCGACAACCTAAAGCCCAAACATAAAAGGCCCACCGAAAACACACTAAGCCCACCGAGAACCATATAATACATTAAAAAAAGCATAAACCACTAAATATAGCCCAACAATCTCCCCCTTGGTTTATTGCTTTCAGTTCTCCTCAAGGTTTCTCCACGAGATGCACGTCTGCTTGGTCAAAAGCCCCTGCCCACAGCTTCTTGTTAATTATTGTTGCTACCATTCCAGTAAAGGCTTTTTGCGGCAGCTTCAAACAATTCATTCTCAAAAATTATTTGAAAGTTTGACAAAGTACGAATATCACATTCTCCAGACTTCAACAGATCTTTGGGATCAACAATGCGAAACTGGTTTTTCTTCAGCTTGATCACCACAGTTGCAGTAGCCTCATCATAAACTCATAATTACATTGAGTCCAAGTGCCTTCAGGTAAGCTTTTGGGAAGTGGAATCCTTTTAGCTTGCTTTGTGGGCGGCCACATGACATTCACCATGGTTTTGTTGGTGTGAGGATCAATGACACCCTTGGCCTTTTTAGTAAACGATGAAGCAATCTTTAAGTCTTCAAAGTTATTTTTCGCTTTACTCTCAAGAAAATTCTTGAAGGACCAGGCCATGGGATCATTGGTTGGATTGTGGAAAGGCGCGTGGATGAGTTCAGAAAGATCAACTTTTGTCCAGGACAGGAAGTCAACTTTCTTCTCATAATACTCAATTCTTCCACTTTTCCGCTTCACCACCCACATGTTTTTATCAACGTCATATCCCCACATGGTGATGCCAGAACGATCTCCATACTTATCTGTGAATTTCTGTCCGTTTTCCCTGAAAAATATCTCAGGGTGATCACTTGGGGCATTTTGGTATGAATGCTTCATCACGAGCATCTTCCCTTTCAGTTGTTCAACCCTTATTTTCTTCTCCCTTCTTTCTTGAGCAGAAGCAGGACCAGTATATAAGAATGAACCAAGATTAGCATCTGGATCATGCCTTGTAACTCTTTCACTTGATGATGGAAAAGTTGGATTGGCGGGACCAGAACTAGAAGCAATGGTCTTTTCTCCTTCAGCGCTCAAAGGTTGAAATTCATCACCAAATTTTTGAAATAGACGTTGTTTCAGGTCAAAGAATAGAGGAGTTAGACCACCAAGATTTGCTTGAAGTTCTGAAATCTTTGAAGCTTTGTCGGAGTTCTCTCTCTCAAGATCACTGATACGAATGTCCTGCTTTCCAATTATCAAATTTTTTTCCGCAGAGATTTGTTCTAAATCAAAGACTCTGTTTGAAGCAGAACGACATCAACCAATTCAGAGTCAGGAAGCTTGCTTTTGCCTTTGGAGATGTCTAGCTCAGGTGTTTCAAATGAGCTTCTTAAGGCTTGAGCTCCTTCCAAAGGTATGCCATCTTCTTCAACAATGAGGCTTTAAAAATATTGATCCATAGGAATGGATTCAGTGAACGGGCTTGACATTTCTTGAGTCACTGGAGTGGTCTCAATAAGTAGGCTTTGAATGTTTTGAGCCATAGAACTAGGCTCAGTCGGTGTAGATTTCTTGTGAACTAGGTCTGTGATAAGCACTCCCGGCCTTGGATCTCTTCTCTTTCGCTTCCTTGGGAGTAAAGCGTTGGATAAGTCTTCTAGATCACTTCCAGATGGAGGTTCAATATCAACAAAAACTGTTTTGAGGAAGCTTCCTTGCAGTTCGTTGAAGTTATGCAATAAGAGCATCCATCTGTTTAGGCGTAGGTGAGGAAGATTTCACAATTGTGTCACTTTCCCTTTTAGTGACGACCGGAGGAGTGACAACAACATCCTCTTATGGGATTAAGATACTTTGCTGAATAAAATTTTCAAACTCGTTTTCTGACAACTCATTTCCTTGATCTTCTTCATCATCAGATACTTCAACCTCTTCAAAGGCAACTTGAAATTTTGGTTTGGGTGCCATGTGTTCCTCGGCAACCTCAACATTTATGGAACTAGCAGCAGGAGTGTCCTAAACTTCAACAAACTTTCCAAATTTGATCAACCCCTTCAATCTCTGATAAGACACTTTGGCAGCCTTTCTTGATTGCTTTCATATCCAAAGTATCAGAAGACCTCTCAATTTGAGGATATTTTTCATTTAGGATCATTGGAAGGAACCTGGGGTACTTTAAAAACAGGTCATTCTTCTTTTCATGAAGGTTGCTCTTCATCTCTTCAAAAACGAATTTTGAGAAGTTGTAATCCCAGTCCATAGCCAGAGCGACAATGGCTGAAGTCACAGTCTGACTAATTTCATTAGAACCCCCTTCCTTCCAGAAATGCAAATCACAAAAGAATATGCTAGGAACCTCCAGTAAGGTGTGACAACTGGAAAATTTTGTGTCAAGCAAGGTTTAAAATGTATCTATGTATAAGTACAACCATATCATAACTTTGTTGCAATAAAACTTTGAACACCCAAAGGGGGCATTGTTTTTATAAGTGTATACATAAGTAAATATATATATGCCTTAAAGATCATACTCATAATAAATATTGAAAGTCGACAAGATGGACCAAGAATTACAAAATTTCATTTTTAAATTTAAAGTGTTATAGGCGTAGGACCCCACAACCTTAGTGATTTCGGTTGCTTAAGGCCGAAATCACCTCTTAGTGGGGATTACAAAACCGAAAACACCTTTGTGGGGGAGATAGGAACGAAAACACAAAGTGAGGAAGGGTTAAGACCGAAATCACATGGGGAATAAGGTGATTTCGGTCATGCCTAGGCCGAAGTCACCAAATTTGATCCTCCCTAGGGTGATTTCGGTGGGGTTAAGGAGATAAGGAGGTTGACTTAGTGATTTGAAGTTCCATTTTCTCCCATGCAATATTATACCCACCAGTATCCCAAGTATTATCCAGCAGTTAACCAAGCAAGCATCACATCATTTGTAACATCCTAGAAATCATGACCTAAAATTTCATTTTAAAACCTTAATGAAACCCATAATTTGTCAAACCATTCATTCAAAACATATTTAATCAGAGTATCATGTCTAAACATATTATATTAGAGCAAAACATCCCAGGATAAACATCATGGTGTGTGTAATGCAGTCATCCCGAGCTCTTCCCTCCGCTACCGAAAGTACCTGAAACCAAAACTGAAAACCGTAAGCACGAAGCTTAGTGAGTTCCCCATACTACCACATACCATACACATAACCACATACTAGGCCCCCGCCCGCTGCATCGGGACTTGCCCGACATCGGACTCACTCCGGCATCGGGCCCCGCCCGACATCAGGCCCCACCTGGCATCGAGCCCCGCTCGGTATACAAATCTGTCTCTCTTAGGCCCCGCCTGTCTCTGGGCCTCGCCCGCCATACACATACAATCATATAAACATGCAAACACATAAGCAAACATACTTTAATGTATTCCTATCCTAAGGCCTCGCCTAACTTGGGCCTCACCCCTGTCCTACTACTGATGAGTCATGGAACCCTGTCCACACTCCGGATGATAGTGAGATACAGGCCCCCGCCTATACTCACTTCTCTCCTATCTCGGGCCCCGCCCTTTCTCTGCTACTAAAGAGATACGTAACCCCGTCCATACTCTGCTAGTGATGAGATACGGGACCTTGCCCACACTCAGCTCCCTACCAGGTACATAGAAGTATCACACAGACAACAAGTATAAACTAACATACAAACATTCCTCGGGCTTGCCCCGACATCGGACCTTGGTCCGAAGTAACATACCTATAGACCTTCCTCGGGCCTCGCCCGACATCGGACCATGGTCCGGAAACATACTATCATACAATGCCTAGGGCTAACCCCCGGGTCTTCCTACCATACATAAATAAATGGGCCGACATTGTGGCCGTAGACCCATGCACACAGTAAGGTGACTCACTTTGCACTACGGAAGTCCTGCTGATACCCCTCTGGCTGTTATTTGGCAATTCCCCGAGCTGCTGATCCTTCGGCTCCCGAGCTACCAATACCAAAATATCACTTAGTCCAGAACAATAATCCTTCTTAGGGTAAAATGACCATTTTACCCCTAGACCAACTTGATCCCGTTCTAAGGCCCAAACCATGATCTACAAAGGCCCAACACTAGGTAGGCTTCCCAAGCCCACTAGTGGCCCACTAATGGCCCAATTTGCTAAATTGGACCCCGTCCTTCTAATGGGCCTTACCCTAAGCCCAAACATCTTCTTGGCCCACATTATCTGACTTCTGATGGCCCACTAAGGCCCGAAGAACCAAAATCCCTTGCATGGCCCAAACCGAGGCCCAAAACAAAGCAAACCCGTATCTGATGAGTACGCTGGGCGTACCTGTATGTACGCTCAGCGTACTCCCCTGTTAAGTCACCTTCCCATTAAGTGCTTAATACTCTACCCCAGAAGCTACAAACACAGATCCAAGTCCTTTTCAACGTCTTAAACCATAAAGTCCCTCACTTGGTGGCTTGCAACCCACCAATAGAGCCCAAACTTGAAATATGATAACTAACTTCCATGGAAATGGTCTTAACTCATGCATGAACCCATTAGGACATCCAAGATGGCAACTTTCTGCCTTAGGGACTCATTTAGAACTGAGAGTAGCAACTCCAAGTCCTAGCAATCGGATTGGACCACAAAGCTTCAACCTTTGGGCCAAAATGGTCCAAAAACTCAATCTAAGAGATCTAAGGAGATAATCACCAGGTTTAGATCTTTATACCTTGAAATGGTCTGAAATGGAACCATAATCTTGGATCTACTGCTTTCCCTTTGATCCACCACCTTGCTATATTCTTCACTTGCTTGAACAATCGCTTCACAACACCAAAATGCTCTCTAATGGCCTCCAAAGCTTCAAGAACACTCAAGGGAGGATTAGGGTTCCGTGGTTGCTGTCTAAATATTAGAAGGAGGCTGGTCCTTGAGGGTATAATGTTCTTTATATAGTGACATACCCTAAAATTAGGGTTTGGGGACTCTGAGCGTATGTTGGGCGTACCTCCCGTACGTTGGGCGTACGCCTCTCCACACCCGCGACCATAAATCCTTATACGCTGGGCGTAACCCAGCTTACGCTGGGCGTACCCAGCTAAATACACGCATGCATTCCCTGCATGCATGGGCTGCCTTGTCACAAAGCTCCATTAGGGGCTAAAACTGACAATAACTTCAAAATGTCATAACTCCTTTATTCTAAATCCATTTCCGACGAACTTGATATCCATGAAAAGGTGGCGGGAAGCCCTAGGCTCCTAGCCACACCCCTAATCCTAAAACCTTCCAGATAAAACCCGAGATCCCATAAAAGACCGAATTGCTTATACCCTGGCCTCCGAACCCACAACCAAAGTACTTTTCAAATCGGGGTGTTACAACTCTCCCCCACTTAAACTAGACTTCGTCCTCGATGTCTCTCCTTACTAACACCCATCTCCAAAAAACTATCTGAGGAACGCAACCGATGATTCTACGTGTGAAACAATATCCCTAAGACGACTGAAAGCCAAGTTGGTCTTCCATTCTGAAGAAAACGAACTTCAAACTTCCGCAAACCACATCTGTCTTCCTAGAGTCCGAATCCCAACTGGTCTGTCTCACTGACCGACTACTCCTGCACAACCATCTGCCGGTCAATTATTCTTGACAGAAGGCTCAGATAATCATTCGAGTAGAAGATTCATCCCTGCAACGGTTTGACTCAGAAGAGAGCTGCACAACAGGGTCAAATCCATTACTCTGAGATTATTTAATCCCGCTGCAAGTGGCTTATCACTTCCGATCCACAAGCTACTTCGCACACAAGAACCCTCATGATCGTCACTTCTGTCCGAACACCATGCTGCCTCTTGCCTTCTTTCCAAAAGAACCGAGACCTATCAGGTACGAACCTATCTGTCCACTATCTGGAATATCGGATTCCCTCCGGTTACTGAACCCAAGCTCAAAATCTCAGTCGCTCCCAGCGAATTGCGAAGAAACTTCGGCTATCTAAAACTGCTCTATCTTCCTTGCCACTCTGGCTCCCTAAGTCATGGGATCCTCGATCCCCTATCTTGAACCTAAGATCTATACAGGTCCTACCAACGCTGCTATAATCACACGGGCCTCGCCCACGGGTCTTACTGAAACTTTATCTCGGAGCGGCCTCCCCCAAAGGTTCCACCTATCTAGGGCTATGCAGGATCAACTCCATCCTAAAACTCAAAGAACTATCCTTTCTCGATCTCTTTCATGCTATTTAGGAGATACGGGCCTCGCCCACACTCCGCTAACTAGGAGATACGGGCCCTCGCCTACATTCCTCTAACTAGCTGCTAATGAAATGCTACGACTATCCTGCAGCCTTACAACTCTTCCCGCTCTGCCTAACTGCTGGGCGATGCTACGACGATCCCGTAGTCTTACATCCTATCTAACTCGCATCCTACCGATAAAATCTTCCATCTGGTTCCCAACCAATTATCAACTACCGTGAACACACGAACTCAAGGTTGGGAAGTTTCCCAAATTCCCAACTCGCGCGCTCCTCTATCCAAACAGCCACTTGGGCTGCTTTCCTTCCCAACAAAGTTGCGAACTCATCCTAATTTTGCACTTACTTCTGCTCCTGACCTCTGGGATAGTTCTACCCCACTTCGATTCAACTAGATCCCTACAGCTCCCAGTTTGGAAAGGATTCTGAATCCTTCTCTCCATCTAAAAGGGTCGATCTGCTGACAACCAACGCTTACCATTGCTAGTGCTCCAAAACTAACCAATACCAAATCTGAACCACTCTTGAAGGCTCACAGAACACCTCCCGAGCCCCACTCACACTTGATACAGTAACTGCATCCTGAGAACCTGCTTTTAAGGGAAACATCTTCGAACTACTACTCTAACATCCATGGTATGCAGATGGCATATAACTTAATCATAAGCACGAAACATAGTTCCAAAGCACATTAAC